CTGCCCCATCCTACACAGGTCCTCATTTTGGGCCTTGCCAATTGTCCTAACTGTCCCTCCTCTCATACGCCTCTGTTGGGCCAATTTTTACGGTGATTCTAATTTGCTTTTCATAAGTATTTTGTAATTTTCACTTTGTTTTGTCATTTCTCCAAAGACAGTCCACATAGCTTAGCTGTGGATTCAAGTCCTCAGGGTGAAGCTCCACTTTCCAACCTTTCCCCCCATTTACACTCACTACTCACCCTCCACCACCCCCATGGGCTGACTCACCCTTTCATGCTTCCCTGTGCTTGTTACAGTTCTATCTACCTGGCAGAACTCTTGGCTCATAAAATCCTATAATCTCTGAGGCCCACCTCAAGTTCTGCTTCCCCAGTGTCATTCCAGGTAGAAAAGGTCTACCATTTAAATCCCCACAGCTTTGTCACAACTTCTTTAAGGGGCTTGCCATATGAGGAGCTTGAATTTTCATCACAATATTGGGAGGTATGTTTGTTTATTTATCTATTTTGAATGGGTATGGTTGTATTCCAATAAAACTTTATTTGCAAAAAACAGGCAGCATGCCAACTGCCAGAGTTTGCTAACTCCTGCCCCAGGCCTCTTCTGGCCTAAGGAAAAATAGGAGGTCACCCTGGCACTTATTATTTCTTCTCAACTCCTTCCCCACCCTCATGCCTCTGCCTTTGTGAAGACCACACTCTCCTGCATGGCGATGGAGAACAGAAAGCAGACATCACCCATTTCGCCTGGGGTTCTTCCAGGACTACATCAGGGCTCTGATGGGGATGGAGGCCGATGGATAGGGAACCCAGCCAACACCACCTGATCTCTTTTTAAAGTAGTGACGAAGTGTACGCTGGAACATTTTACCCTGGAGTGGGTCACTGCCCTTGGGAGCTCAGGGAGGTGTGTTTAATCCTATCCACAGAAGCATCAGAAGCTCTTGGAGGGCAGCTGCTTGTAAACCAAGTGTTCTCAATCTTTCTGGTGTCAGGACTCCTCTAGCCTCAACGATTTTAAAGGACACCAAGAACTTTTGTTTATGTAAGTTTTATCTATAGATATTTTTCATATTAAAAATCAAAATGGAGAGAATATCAACTGTGTTTTTCTGAAGACAATCAGAAAAAAATTAATTGGTTTTTTTTTTTAAAGATTTTATTTATTTATTTGAGA